AGACACGAAAAAGCATAATCAAACTATATGTACGCGTTCACCATTCAATGTTATTTTTCCCTTAAATGATGCATTCATGTTAGTTTCACTTTTTACCTACGGAAATTGTCAAGCGTTTGCATTTTTCTCGATGCCACATTCATTGTATCAATGGTGTTTGTTAAATTACGCTTCTATGTGAACAATGTAGTGAGGACACCAATATACTATTCACTTCGGTATTATATTCTCTTATTCCATTCGTGGATTCCATGTTGGCTATCCCACGAGGTTTTTAGGCATTGCCTTTGTACTGGTTATGCACCATTGTTCCATCATCACGAGGTTCAGCTGTGAGACGTAACGAAATCCACAGTCCTCGCTGACAGTTTGGATTTTTACCTGAAGTGACTGATGTTGTTGTTGTATGCTCATGTTATGGGGTAAAGAACAGCAAGCAAATTCTTGGAACGCACATCATTCAAGGAACGAAGAAGTGAGACGGCGTTCCAAAAGGATTTGCATCCAAGGACTTGCTCATAGAAATGTAAAATTACTAAGCATCTCCTTATAATCCACTTGAACCCTTTGCAGGGGTCTATTATTATAATAAGTCGGATGCATTCGGGTCGGTGCTTAAGTTGCGCATGCAAGACATTGGTCCATCAAATTGGTAAACCAGTAAATTGAAGAGTTGCACGAGGTTAGTACACTAAACGGAACATTCAGGATTGGAAAAATACGCTCCGTCACCATGGGACTGGACAGTACTAATTGGTGTGACGACTTACGTAGCTATTCGCTCCATTCACTCTTATTGGGTAACGTCTACCATCTCTTTGAGATCTACTTCAAACAGGTTGGTCAGTGGTTAGAAGTCAGACGAATCCAATTTCCCAGCGACCAAGTTGGAGGTTGGAGTTTGGGTGGTGCACATTTCTGTCAATCAGGATCACGACCATATTTCCACTGTCCGCTTTTGAGCTAAGAACCCTGAGCTAGAACCTTGGTAAGCCGTGAGTGTGGACTCATGACGTACTGCAACTAGCATTTCACCAACAGCCTAAGATATCCGCTATGCAGAAAGCTGTTCGTCGCCTTATTCCAAGTGACCATGCTATCGTCTTCCTCTGTACACAGAACCCAAGTTCTGGGAAAAAGTAATACTGCGATCGTAGCACAGATGTGCTTCGGGTGACCCAAACTGTACTGGTATACCCAATCTGATGTTTTTATACTTTCACCGCTTATGTGCACTGGGCATTCAAGGAATGGTAGTGTACTGCGGAAAGTTGCAGTTCCATGGTGTGACGACAGGGATCCCAGACTTGAAGCAGTAATTTTATTGCCTGGCTTTTCGTGTAAGGTACTCGTCCTTCATGCGCCATAGCCAATCGGTATCATCGTATTCATCTATCAACTATTGGCATCTCAGTCGGTGAACCACATCACTGTGGATTACAGAATAGGTTCCACTGCAAACAAAGAAATATGGAGCACACAATCAAATCCCACTAAGTACTTGAGCAGGGTCACTTTTACTTACTAGAGATCCGGGCTAAGGTTGAATCGGTCCGTAGACCAGTTTTTATACTTTATCTTCCCAAACCGGAGCCCCCGCCGTGTAGGCCATTATCATTCGTGCAGTACAATTCTAGAGAATGAGGAGACATCCAAAAAATTCATATGGGTTGCAGTTATCGCTGGTAACATTCGTCGCCTCACAGTGGAACGGGAATCTCGGATTACGGAAGAGCAGGCAGGTTTCCACCCAGTTGGGGGCTGTATAGACCACATATTCATTTTGCGGCAGGTGCTACAGCAGCGCCACGCATACCGCAGACTGACAATAGCTGTGTTCCTCTACCTAAACAGTGCGTTCGAGTCAGTAGATCGATGCATTCTGTTCGAAATAATTGCTCAGAAATGTGTTCCCACAAAACGTGTGAACATTTTGCGTGCTCTATACTCGAACACTACAGGCCGTGCCAGGGTTTACGGCCACCTGTCTGATAGATTCCCGAGTACAAGTGGTGTTCGTCAGGGTTGTCCGATTTCCCCATTTTTGTTCAATTTCGTCGTGGATTCTATCATGGAGTGTTCTCTTGCGGAATCTCACGATGTAGGCGTTGAAGTGCTGCCTGGTGAAAGATTAGTCGATCTTGATTATGCAGACGATATCGTCTTGGTTTTTGACGATGTTGCGGCAGCACAATCAGTCCTGAATAGCCTATCTAGAGTGATCCAATTATTTGGTATGCGCTTCGCACCTTTACAGTGCAAGGTGTTGCTGCAGGACCACCAGCCACTTCATTAACCCTTGACTCTTGAAAAGGAGGAACTCGAGCTGGATAATCCATTCACTTAACTTGGCAGCTGCACCAGCAACGATGGGCTCATAGAAACTGAGGTCAGCTCACGCACTGAAAAAGCCAGAGCTGCCTTCTTGAAGCTGCGGCATTTTTAGAGACAGAACGGAGTTTCTCTCCGTCTGAAAGGCCGTGTATACAAGGTCACATTGAAGGCCGTTCTGCTCTATTGTAGTGAGATTTGACCTCTTGTCTGAAGGTGCCTTCAAGTCTTTGATCATCGTTGTCTGCAAAGCATTGCTGCTGTTGGATTGCACCAGCGTGTCCGCAACGAGGATGTGTGTAGGCGAGTACTAGGTAGTGATAATCATGCTAGCTCCCTAGAACAACAGATAGCACTGAATAAGTTGCGTTGGCTCGGGCACGTACTACGTATGCCTGGTCACTGCTTACCTAGGAGGGCCTTGTTTAGTCTGTCATATGTAGGGTGGTGCAAAGCTCGAGGTGGACAGAAGTTGACTTAGAAGCGTGAAATGAAGTCCCTGACGACCGAATTAGGTGCACTTTGTCCGTCTTGCCTTACAGGCTGGAGTTAACGTGACGTGCCTTGTGTTTGGCTCGAGAGTTTACTGGACATGAATCGCAGCCGACACCAGTGGTGCGTCTACTGTCGTCTCGCAGTCAGACTGCCAGTTTACAGTGTATTTGTTGCTGAGTTATCTGCGGGGTAATTGCTGATTATAGCGTGGGACAGTGAAAGCTGCAAGGAAGCTGTCTCGTCGATACCGCCTTATCTTTAAACGATAGGTGGTTGTTTGTGACCTTATGCTATTGACAGGGCGTTGGAGACTTAACACTGAATGTTTGCTTAGAGAACTAGTCTTCCGGTTAGCCCTCTTCTCTCTCTCTTGTTCCTATTATTATTCTCCCTTACTCTTATTATTATTATTATTCGTTCCTTAGGTCATGCGTGAGAACCCACATGCGTGTGCTGTGGTCCCATAATTGGTCAATCAGTTTTGCGAACCAACGAGCCTCGCGCTTTGCGGAATACGTGAATCTCAGTATCCATGAGGATTAGATATTGCTTAGAAATGCAGCTTCTCAGTTCCATGCTAACGGAACATTACCTCATCAGTGAATATGTTGGAATGAATACTCAAGACTGTGACGGGACAATAGGCTATGCGGCAGCGAGTAATGTTTAGGCGGCATAGCTTTTCAAGACTCCTTTCTCAAAACGTCACATTTCATATTTGTAAGGCATAATTGTAGAGCATGCTTATTTTGCTAAGGTTGGTTGTTGGAAGCTAACTATCAGTCTAAAACGCGTTGCCAATAACCCTTTTGTCATTAACTGGGATAACACTAAGCAGCTGTTGAACACTCCTTGCTCAGGTCAGTTAAGCCTGTCCAAGGGCTACCACGATTCTACCGCAGTAGCCTGGTAATGACACATTGCTGTCTTGATTGTTCATGTACGCATTCGTTCCAACCAGCTCGAAACACGGTAGGTATCGATCGGTGAAATTTACTTGTGGTGTGCCATAGTTGACTTCAACGCAACCATCCGCGCCCATCCAGTGTTTTCACGATGGACGAGACTGGCAAGTACACCTGTACACAGGTTCACTTGCCTACGGCCATCACTCCGGTCGTTCACACCCATGTGACCGGGTGAGAGACAGTTTGAGATAGACCAACATCTACTATTGGACAGTTGGCAATTTAGTGCGCTCTCCTCTCACCCGAAGGCGTGACGCTTGGTCCCCGAGTAACAGAGTAAAAAGGGACAAGACTTCTGGTACTAACTGTTTTTGACCCACTGACAACGACTGTTGGTTTCAGCATCATTTCTGGTAAACAAACTTTTGTATTTGTTTGCAGCTATGACACCTAACCAACAAGCCAGATATCCTACCATTTAATCGAAGGTAACTTTCCTTGAATAATGAACCTTCGTTTACCATGTAACGTTGCGCTTTCAAGGTTATATGCACTCTATCGAACAACCATTTCTTTTACACACCACACTGCTTTTAGTTAAATGCCATGTGTTCTCACTGCGACTGCTGTACTTGAACCATTGGGTCTAAATGTTACTCGGTCTTTGATGCGCATTCTGAGTTCTTTGCTGTATTGAACTTTACGCAGGATCTCAGTCAGAAGGATATTCGTGTATATTTTGGACTGCCGACACTGAAGTAAACATTGAGGTGCCAATCTGTGTACAGTGTTGCCTGTAGGTTGCAAAAGCATTAAGGATGCTGCTAGCTGTGAATTGCTACCCCAGCGCATGGCGTTCACTTGTCATTTGGGCTAATCAGCGGCAAAACTTATGCACCTAAGAAACAACTGTCAGGTGTAGTCTCTCGCAATGCGATGGCAAGCGGAGCCCGGGGGGTGGTATTACTCAATCCTCACCTTCATCCATAAACTTCAATGCAATGCACTTACGTGTCTTACTGAAGGCATGCACAGCGTTTAACAGTTAAGTAAAATGGTTTGTGTTAGGTATTGCTGTGTGGATGCATTAATCGTTCAACAGAGTTCGAAATTTAGGCAATATTATTGATCGCTTCGTGTGCTCATACAGTCCTAGTATGTAGAAAGTTTAAGCCATTGAGCACATTGCAGAGTGAGAAGCAAGATTTATAACGGACGGCTACATACACCATTCCAATGCAGTAGACCGTGTGTGATGAGACTCACCCGGGCGGATAATACAGTGGTGCAGACTATTTCCCTCTCAGGCAGCAGCGAATTGAGCTCCAACGACTGTTGCTGATAGTGCCAATAGAGGGGGTACCAGATGAGGAAAGGTAAGCCGCAAACAATAAGGATCAGCTTCCTTAAATAGTTTTCCATGACCTTGGATAGAAGAAAGGAATTTCAGTTGTACCCAGAGTTTTAGTGCAACGATGCAAAAATGCGCAGTAAGATATTTAAGAGACTTAGGTGTAACATCGCTGTGGCGGATCACATTCTGAATACTACACTGTTTATACGAATAAACAAGCGAAAATGAGTTGTAGATCTAAACAGCAAGGACCCATGTATTGTACCGGAAAACACGTTATTTTGCAACATCGGGTTTACCGTTGTTTTAACCTTCAAAATGTCCACATGTTTTACTGACGATAATTCCGTTGACACAAAATTGTTTTGGTGAGTATCTTGCTGCACCGTTTCTCGCTCTTGTTGATTCGCTTCCTAATTCTGTAGCCTGCACAATATACTTTGGGTTCAGTCGCCTGTCTCGTATTTAATACGTCTTACGTGTCATTGATTACCGACTAGTATCCCAGGCGCCACCCAAAAATTTGTGACCCCGGTCCAGAACACGCCATCCGCCATTTTGAGTTATCTTTCTGGTGAGCTTGTTCCAGTGACTTTGTGATTTATTACTTGTGATCAGCTTGTTTTTCACCTACCACATTTGTATTTTCTTCTTTTATGGATTATCTAGAGGATAAGCCATCTCCATACGCTATTAGCGCCGTTGAGGCTGTCATGGTCAATAGAGTTGTGTTAACCCAACCACATTTTGGGGCGAATGACCCTTCGTTATGGTTTTTGCAGTTAGAATCCGATTTTTACATTCGTAGGAATTTTTCTGATTTCGCTATGTATAAGCAGCTAATATCTCGCCTTCCTCAGTGTGTATAATGGCAGGTGCAAGACAAGATATTTTGCCCCCTTCTTGTAATGGAATACGCGACTCTTAAACAGGCTATTATTCAGCGAATCACGCCCTCTGGCAAGGTCTGACTACAGCAACTATTTAGTGATCTGCAACTTGGAGATAGGACGCCCTCAGCCTTGTTGCGCGAAATGTAACAGCTCAACCGCACATCCAACATGGACGTAAGGATAAGATGTGGATGCAACTCCCTCCTGAAAGCACTCAGTCGAGCTTTGCAGTTGGAAGTGACTTGTCAATCACAGCGATTGAAGATCTGTCAGACGGCGTCATCGTACGGCACCAGCCAGAGACTAAAACCAAAACACCTAAACAGCTTTGTGCTGGCGCGCCACACCGACACCCGCGACTAGCCAGCTGTCGGCAATAGACGCAGTATCATCACAGATTTCGTCGTTTCTAAGCCAGATGGAGGAACTCACTTTGAACCTTAATCACCGCAGCCGCTCTGGATTATTGCCTCGTCGCACAAAACCTGATGCCCCAGGTTACTGTTTTTACCACTCGCGTTTCGGGAATAAAGCCCGTAAGTGCGTGCAGCCATGTTGCTACTCCGCTACAGATGATCCGCCACACCGGCCTGTAATGGCCACGAACGACGTCAGCAAAGCGCAAAGTCGTCTCATCTACGTTACGGATTATGATTCTGAGACCCAGTTCTTAGTTGATACCGGGGCGGAAGTCAGGGTCATTCCCCCTATGCCAAGTGAACCTATCGCTTCTTCGTCGACAAGCCTAAATGCCACGAATGACACTCCAATATACACCTACGGCCATCGGTCGCTTACCTTAGACGTAGGTCTTGGGCGCACGTTCCGCTGGGTATTCACCGTCGCTGCAATCTCCTTTGCCACCATCGGCATTGACTCTCTCAGGCATTTCGACCACTTGGTCGATGCCAAACGCCAGATGATAATCGACACTGCAACCTAACTCAGTGTACTTGGCATCACCGCCGATATCGCATCTATAACACCAGTCTACGCCTTTCCCCAGTCCTCTCCAGACTAGGCCAGCCTCTTTTCCCAGTAATCCAATCTCTTTAAGCCAATGAACGCAGCTTTGCCCGTGGCATCCCAAGTCACGCACCACATACAGACGAATGGCCCACCTGTGTCGTGCCGTCCACGCCGACTATCGCCCGCGAAACTAAAGGTAGCTAGGGCGGCGTTTGAGCACATGCTAGAACTTGGAATAATCCGCCCTTCCGACAGCCCTTGGTCCTCGCCCCTGCAGATGGTCCCCAAGAAATCTGGTGACTGGCGCCCTTGCGGTGAGTACCGCGCACTCAATCGCCTAACCGTCCCAGATAGATATCCCATCCCACACATGCAGGATCATACCGCATGCCTCACAGGTAAGAAGATCTTCAGCAAGATCGATCTGGTTCGCGCCTATCACCAGATACCGGTAGAAGAAAAGGACATTTCTATATCGACCGTTATCACTCCTCTCGGCTTGTTTGAATTTTTATGAATGCCATTTGGACTGTGCAAGGCCGCACAAACCTTCTAACGCTTTATCCACGATGTCACTCATGGCCTATACTTCGCTTATTCCTACCTCGTTGATATTTTAGTGGCTAGTTCATCGGAACAAGAGCACCTCGAGCATCTTCGAACTCTCTTCTAGCGCTTGACCTAACACGGTGTCACAGTCAACCCGACTAAGTGCGAACTCGGCAAATCAACGGTAGAATTCCCAGGCCACCTTGTTTCATTGTCTGGTATCGAAGTCCTTCCTGATAAGAACCAAGCAATCAAGGACTTCCCAGCTCCGACTTCGTTCAAACACTTCTGTGGATTTTGTTGTTTGATAAATTACTATCGACGCTTCGTTCCACGCTGCGCTCAGCTCATGCAGCCTCTGACTGACCTACTCAGAAGGAATGAACGTAAGTTCGCTTTCCCTGACACAGCACAGACAGCCTTCGCCGAGCTCACGGATGCTATCTCCAACCTAGCCCTCTTCGCTTATTCCGAAAAAACTACACTTCTTTCTATTACGACTGATGCCTCAGAGGTCACGCTAGCAGCAGTCCTCCAACAACACGTTGATGAGTAATAGCAACCCCTTGGGTTCTTCTCCAAGCGCCTGCAGCCAGCGGAATCCCGCTACAGCACGTTTGGCAGAGAACTGCTCGCCATTTACCTAGCAATACGTCACTTCCGGCACACACTCGAAGGCCGCGCTTTTACGGTCTACAATGACCACAAGCCCCTCATCTTCGCCTTCAACTCTGCTTGCGACAAATATTCCCCACGGAAAACAAGACACCTAGACTTTGTCACGCAGTTCACTGCTGACATACGTCATGTCTCAGGTGTCGACAATCCCGTCGCCGACGCTCTCTCACGCGTCAACCTCGCACTCCAGTTTTTGCCTACCGTCGACTTTGTCACCAGGGCATCGGCTCAGGCTCCAGGTGAAGACATACAACGCACTCTGCAGTCCACTTCGTTCCATGTGCAACCTGTCCCTCTCCAAACCACGGAAGGAACCATTCTCTGTGACATTTTCGTAGGTTGTCTTAGACCCCTCGTGCCCATCCACTTCAGACGAACAGTCTTTGACGCACTGCACTCACTATCACATCCCGGTATCCGTGCATCGTTGAAACTGGTCACCGAACGTTTCGTTTGGCCACGCGTAAACAAAGATGTTCGTACCTGGGCTCGCGTCTGCCTTCAATGCCAGCGCTCCAAAATACATCGTCACACCGACAGTCCTCTTGGTTCATTTACTGCCCCGGACTCTCAGTTCTCGTATGTACAGTTAGAACTGGTAGGTCACTTGCCTCCTTCACGCGGATTCGAATACATTCTTACATGTGTCGACCGCTTCACCAGATGGCCAGAAGCCATTCCGGTAACAGACTGCACAGCTGAGACTGTTATCCGGGCCTTCTTGGACCGTTGGGTTTCGCACTACGGATGCCCATCCGACATTACAACTGACCGAGGAACGACTTACGAATCTTCACAATTCGATAAGTTCTGCAAGATTTTAGGCTGTCGCCACATTCATACTACAGCGTATCACCAAGCAGCCAAAGGTTTGGTTGAACGCTTCTATAGACAGCTAAAAGCCTCGCTGTGCGCCTCCATCGACCCTAGCTGGAGCCAAAACGTTTCGCTCGTATTCTTATGCATTCGCAGCAGCATCAAAGTTGACTTGCAATGTACACTTGCAGAGCTGGTTTATGGCACAACGTTAAAGTTGCCAGGAGAATTCGCTTTGCTTCCCGCATCGTCGGGTATGTCTTCGCCTAAGTTTGTGTTCTCCCTTGCTCAACGCATGCGTTCACTACGCCCGACTGCCCCCGCTGAGCGGACTTGAGATGTGCAAATGCACTGCGGACTCACTACCTGCACTCACGCCTTCCTCCATAGGGACGCAGTGCGACGCCCTCTCCAGCCTCCCTACACTGGCCCTTTCAGAGTCCTGCAACGGACTCCGAAACATTTCACTTTAGACCAGAATGGTCACCGAACAACGGTGGCCATCGACCGCCTCAAAGTGGCTTTCCTTGACGAACCACTTGCAACCCATCCTGATGCTATCACACAAGCACCCGCACCTGCGGGGACTTCCCGAGCACTGAATATCCCGAAACCCTCCGTTCCCCTTGACTCTCAACCTACCTTGCCTCAACCCCAGGCAACTTACCGACGCAGTAGACAGGTCAAATGTCCGGTCTGTTTTACAGATTTTGTAAACGTTTGCTATTTCTATTAACGCGTCATCTTCGTCTTTAGTGGTAATCGTGCGTCTTGTTCACAAGCGATTTGTAAAATCGACAAAAAACCCAAAACATTTTGAAAACTTAAAAAGCGTATTTGCTTTTTTCCTGCATGCCATGTTCCCTCTCCGGCGTCAAACCACTTCCTCCGACCCTTGCCTACCCCCTCTGAGTTCTACGTTCCAAAATCACAACCGCCGGAACTGCAAAGGTAACCCTCGAGTGACTCGCCCACCAGCTCAACGCAACCCCCGGGTGACTCGCCAGCCGAACCAAAGCCCTCTTCCTGACCCAAGGAACAATCAGTCGCCATTGGTCGTGGACCGCCATGAACGGGTTGGACTTCAAACGTCTGGCTAGGCGTTGCCGACGAGGACGCCTGATTTCTTCGTGGGACGAAGACCCCCAGATTTCTTAGTGGAACGA